CCCCAAAACCCCAAAACCCCAAAACCCCATGAAGTAAAAAAACTGATTTTGAGAAAGAAAGAATTAGGATGCCGAGTAATTTTATAATTTATGCCTTTGCTTTTTTATTAGTGATGTTTTAAGAAGAAATATATTAACACAATTAAATTCAATTTATTTCAATTCAATGGATGTTTAATAGCCTAAAACCAAAATAATGGGCAATAGAAAGCCTATGACTGTCATCAACTCAACCAGAAAGAAGAAATTCTTGAATATTACTTCTGAGTCTTAAGATTAGAGTTTCATCATTCAAAACAGTTTCAATTAGTCAGTAATGAATGCATAGATTTCTCCATCTCATGAGTTGAATGGCCCAACTGATAGGGCTGATATCAGTGGAATTGGAGATGATAGTTAGGATCGAGAAATGAGGTTAAATTTCAAACCAGGCAATGGCTAGCGCAAAGTAGTCAAGATCAATGACGAGTACAACGACTCCATAGCTTAAATTGATGAAGATAGAGACATAAACTCCGATAGTTATTCAGACGAGGGTGAGGATGAATATATAAGCAGAGGAGATGACGCTTATAAAGTTGTTGTTAATAGTGATGGGGGAATGATTTCTGATTTTCAAAGACCGACCAAGTCTACCTAGTAGCATCAGCAGCAGAGTCAAAATACATAGTAACAAAATTAATATCAAATATCGAATGTAAGAAATACTCTTTTTTATATTTTGCTTAGAGTTCACAGTTTAATTTATTTGGAGGAGAAAGCATAAAGCAATCTAAGGTCAGCAGTCCATACAATAATCACTTCTTCAGTGGGGGCTCTCTGCCCATATTTGAGAGAGTCAAGACTGCTCATGGAATTAAAAAGAAGTCTAACATCTTCAAAAGCACTACTAATCAATTAGATTCATTAAATCAGAAACTGGATAAATATGGGCAAAGTGAGGTTTATGTGGGAAGTTAAGATTTACAACAATTAAGTTAAAGGCCTAGCACTATACATTCGAATTTTGGAAGAGTTCAATCAAAAAGACTCTAACCAACCATCTCCCTCTCTCAATAGAGAGATAAGCGAGTAATCGCTGAAAAAAGCTTTATAACTACTGATTAAGATAAGCTTATTTAAAACTCCAACGATACTACCTTGAAAGGTATGGAACACGATTAAATTTTGTCAGATTTACAACTTGACTAACTACAAGTTTGTCTTAGAGTATCTAAATTAGTCATTCATGATTACAATGACATTAATGAGGAGTATTATGCTGTGCATGGAAAGAACTTTGTTGAGGACCCTGAGCCTACACCAATCTGCCATTATGAAAGAGACCCCAATACAGGAGACATTAGAATTGATAAGATGAGAAATATCCTTCCAAAGTCCTCACAGTCAGATGAATTTGCTAGAATGACTTAAAGAGAGCGTGATGAATACATGAAAAATTAACAAGCTAGAGATGTAATGGAGGGTTTGATCCGTATTCTGAAGAAGAGAGACACTAAGACTAACATAGAGGTGATTTAAAAAGAACTGGATGAGCTTGCAGCAAGGAACAATCCTTTAAAGAAATGCTTGAGCATGTATAAAATCAAATAGAAAATGGACTAGCTTAAGGAAAGCAGCATGGCTGATGATGATAAATTTACCAAGAAAGATACTACTCTATCTGGGGATAGACCTACCTCAAATCGCAGTCGCAGTCCTAACAAGACTAGAGAGCAATCTAGGTCTAAGAGAATCAGTATGGACTTAAAGGCATTCAGAGCTGAAGAGCAGCTATCTTAGGAAGAAGAAGGAAAGATGCGGTACAAAATACTCACTAATTTTGTTAATGCTTACAAGGAGAAAATGTTTTTAAGTAGTTCTGTGGGATTCGGGGATAGTAAAACTTAAGCTGGAGAGAAGAATACTATGACATTGCAAGATTTGAAGGAATAAGCAATGGCTGAACGCTAGGATATCACTCTGGATTTCGAATAGTTCATGAGGATATACAACTTCGAAAAGAATAGATCAACCACTGGAAAGAATAGTGTCGTATTTCCAGGCGTTAATCAGAGTGCAGAAGTTAAGAAGGAAACTAAGATTTCTAAGAGCTATCACAGAAATGGCAAGGAAAAGAGTTTTATACCTTCTCCAGTGAATACTTCAGCAGACAATACTTTTAAGAAGAGACCATTGAGTTCTTTTGGAAGGGAGATATAAGATTAGAAGAATAAATTAATGCGAAAAACAAACCAGATTCGAAGAAATGTAGAGGAAAATAAATCATTGATAGAGAATGTAAAGCAAAGGAAAAGGCAGGAATAAGATGACATTGAGATTGCTAAATAAGTTGATATGATAAAGAAAAGAAATTTCAACAAGAGATCATCTAGGTAAAATGACAGCTAAAACAGAAATTCTCAGGCAAATTTTAGTGAAATGAGTCCAGAATTCAGGCAAACAGGAACTAAATCAGGTTATGGAATGATTTAGGATGGCTCGACGTAGTACATCCGTGGTGGCACTCCTATTACGACTTCTGTTTAATAGGTGAACAACTAAAGACCCTAGACTACAGGGGCGACCAATTATAGAGGAAAGAATAGAAGACTAGTTAGCGGAGGAATAATTCTAAACTAATAGGAAAATGAATAACATTAGACATTTGACATGAAAAGGCTGAATTCCTCTTAACACGATGGATTTTAGTTTGATGCATAGAGTGGAAAGAACATTCTTTAAAGTAAAGGCCCCTAATATGTTGTGTCTGTCTCAGGTTCTTAGTCAAACCTTGGTTCACAAAAAGTGTCCAGAAGTCTCTGTAATCTTTTTTATATTTTTAACTTGTTAATATAGAGACTGCAACTAATCTTGCAAGACTTTATGGTGATTGTATAAATGAGATGAATACAAATATAAGCATGAAATCATCACTTCATAATGCCACTAATGTATACAGAAAAGATGTCAAGAACGTCAATTACTAGATTGCAGACATTTTTAAAAACATCAAGTCTGAGCAAATCAGGTACAGGAAATTTGACAACTACTTAAAGAAATGATAACATACTTTATACTTTGACAAAATAAATAAATGCAACATAAACTATTAAATATGGATTCTAGTAAAGAAAGATTACTCTTTTATTGATTTTGTTTTCACATCAAGGGGTTTTGGGGTTTTGGGGTTTTGGGG